AGAACAAAAGCTACAGCCTTCAGTATGGATTGCACCTTAATGTAAAGCAAACAAAGATCCTCACACCTGAACCCAAAAATAACATCATGATAAATGGAAAAAAGATTGAAGTTGACAAAGACTTCACTTTGCTTAGATCCACAATCAACACTCATGGAAGCAGCAGTCAAGAAATCAAACGACGTATTGCATTAGGCAAATCTGCTGCACAAAACCTCATAAAGTGTTCAAGAGCGAAGATAGCAATTTGAGGACTAAGGTGCATTTGACCCAGGCCATGGTATTTTCAGTGTTCTCCGATGCTTGTGAAAATTGGCCAGTGAATAAAGAAGACAGTAGAAGAAACCATGTATCTGAGTTATAGTGTTGGAGAAGACTCTCAGAAGTGCCATGGACTGTCATCAAAACAAACAAATCTGTGTTGGAAGAAGCACAACCAGCATGCTCCTTAGAAGCCGTTTAATCAAGAGGGGTCAGTCCCTGGAGAAGGACATCATATTTACTATAGTGAGGGTCCGAGAAAAAGAGGAAGACCCCCAACAAGATGGATTGGCACAGTGCCAGCCAGCAGCACTTGGTTCAAACACAGCCATTGGAAGGATGGCGCAGGACGAGACAGTGTTTCATTCTGTTGTGCATATGAGTCTGAGTTAACTCCATGGCACCTAAAAACAACAACAACGCTCATTAAAGGAGTCCTAGTGTGGCTACGCTATAGGATAAGCACCAGACCTTAAGGTCTATTTGAACTGTGAAGTCAGCGGTTCAAATTCACTAGCTGCTCCTTGGAAACTCTACACAGGGTTGCTATGAGTGAGAACTGACTCGATGGCACTTAACAACAACAACCGGGTAATCCAGAGGGAACCCCTTCCCTCCCTGAGATGAGGTTGAGGTACAATACTAGGCTCCCCATTATCTTTTCCCTGACACAAGGACCTCTGGTTGAAGCAACCTAGTCCAGCTTACTTCAAAGGGGCAGCCAGGTGCCCCTCACCGTGCATGTCCTCCAATGTGCCAACAAGGAAATGGTCTCTGATGAGTCATTTAACCTCCGGGATTGTGGAGTAAGGTTGGCCTACCTGGCAGGAACTTTGAAGATTGATTATTTAATGACTGAGAAGCACTTTGCAATGATGAAGTACCGCCTTCCTCTCTAGATGCTGAGAGGTGAATTTCATACATGCTGTGATGTCTGTTAGAAATCCCTACTGCAGACCTCTGAACCCATAAATAAACTGCTTACTCTCCTAAAGTAAATAACGATGTGACTTTTACTGGCTAATGCACTGTCTCTTTAAAAAGGTTACAACATACTGTTGTTTAATGGTAGACGTAGGCCAAACCGCCCCCTGGGAGCCCGAGCACACCTCCCTCCGTGGGCACCTGGCTAAGTGGTAGGATTAGCAGAGGTTGACTCCTCCCAGGACTGATGTCAAAGGGGAAATGGAGTCAGCCCTGAAGGCCTACAGGGGAGGGGTGGGCTCCAGATGGCTAAGTAGGCCCATTGTTACTGAAGCCAGGTAACCAGAAAACCAAAACCAAATGCAGTGCCACCAAGCCGATTCCAACGCATAGCAACCCTGCAGGGCACAGCAGAACAGAATGGTCCGTGGCGTTTCCTAGGCTGTAACCCTTCCAGAGGGAGTCCTGGTGCGGCGCTGTGGGTAAATGCATCAGACTGCAAAGCTGTTTGAACTGCAAGGTCGGCGGTTCAAGCTCACCAGCTGCTCCTTGGAAACCCTATACAGGGTCGCTATGGGTTGGAATCGACTCAACGGCACTTAACAACAACAACAACAACAATCCTTCCAGAGAGTCCTGGTGTGTCACTAAAGGATCAGCACTGTTCTGCTAACCACAAGGTTGGTGGTTCAAACCCACCAACTGCTCCTCGGAAACCCTAACAGGGTTGCTATGGCTCGAAACCGCCTCAATGGCATTTAACAGCAACATTATTACGTACAAAAGGTGAGACAGGGTTAAACATGGACAAGAACTCTCCTACCCTTAATCTATGAATGTGGTTTTTGTACATGTTGACATAGTGTCCTTAAGATGCTGTAACAAAACACCATCAGTGAAGTGACTTTAAATAACGGAAATGCATTACTCTCCAAATTAGGTAATGGGTGGGCTGTGCCGATTCCTTCTGAGAGCTTGAGAGGGTATCTGCTCTCTGTGTCTCCCAGTGGTCCTTGGTGTTCCTGCCTTGTAAATGCCTAAATGTGTGGTCTGTGTTCCCCTGCATCTGCCTGTTTCTGGGTCTGTTGTTGTTTCATATGACACCAACCAGAAAGGATTTGGATCAGAACCCATCCTACCCCAGTGCGACCCTGTTTAACTTGGTAACACCAACAGCGCTATTTCAAACAGGGCCACGTTCACCAGTACAGGGCTGAGAGATTCAGCATCTTTCTGGGGACACCATTCAAGAGTGGCGTCAGTAGCAGGGTGTAGGGGTGATCAGGTGATGTCAGAGGGGTGACACCCAAATGACGGTCTATACAGTTTGTGCTGTTTCAGCAAAAATTTATTATTTTTCACAAAAATGTCCTTATAATTACTTATGTCATCAACAGTGGTTTTTGTAGGCACAGTTTACACGCGGCACTATACCTATGAGGCTAAAATGCCATGCTGTATTCCCCCTCACCTTCTTGTGCACTCAGGTCACTATGAGCCAATCACAGTGGTGCCCGGAACCGTGTCCTTTCATCTGCACGTGTTGCTGTGCTTTAAAGGTGTCATTTACATTTTGCTAGTGGTTGATGCCACATTATAGCTGTTACATTCAGGGATATACGGTAATTATGGTTTACGAGTTACTTAAGTACAAATATATTACTAAAGGTTCTGTATGGTCTGGAAAGGGAGGGTGGGATTTGACACAGACCCTAATGATTTCACTGTGCCTCAATCCTTGACCATGATGTCGACGACAGGTGCTTCCACCTGAGGTCACAGAGGCCACGTGCTGCTTTGGTCAGTGACCGCTAATGGACACTTCTTGATGCTGTGGAGATTGTCATAGCTCAGAAGCTGAAGTCCGGTTTGGCAGAAAGCCCACTGTGAGGAACATACTCACAGGACTTTGTCTCCTTTCTGAGGACCCTGTCCATCCCCAGACCTGAGCTGACAGTTCTCTGGAACCAGCTTGTCCAACATGGTGGCCAGGGGCCGATACTGAGCACAGGTGTGGCCTGTGTAGACTGAGCCAGCTGTAAGGGCCCACTACAGATCTTGGAGACTTAGCCCCATACAAACTCATGAAGAATTTCAAAAGATTGGTTATATGTTAAGGAACCCTGGTGGTGCCCTGGGTTAGGTGCTGGACTGCAAACCGTAAGGTTGGTGGTTCAAACCCACCAGCTGCTCCTCCGGAGACAGATGAGGCTGCCTGTACCCAGAAAGATGGATAGCCTCAGAAACCCTAAGAAGTCCTACTCTGTCCTGGTGTTGTTGTTAAGCACAGAGTTTCCCAGGAGCAACTGGTGGGTTTGAACTGCTAACCTTGTGGCCACAGTCCAGTGGCAACCGTTCAGTTACACCAGGAGTCCAACAGGGGCATTACATCATATAGGCAGGCATCAACTTCATGGCAGTATGATTTGGTTTGGTGGGTTTTTTTGGTATGTGCTCAGTATCCCATCTCAAAGATGCCCCCCCCAAAAATGTTAAAATAGTGGTTACATGTTGAAATGATGTCTGCATATACTTGTTAAATGACGTACTATAGTTTGACTCATAGCAACACTGTATAGGGTTTCCATGGCCAGCCTTTTGGTCCAAAGTGACCTTGCAGCCCAGTACATTAACCCGCAGCGCCACACTGTATATACTGTTGTTAACTGTTGCCTTCAAGTTGGTTCCGGCTCACAGTAACCCTACACAGTTTCCGAGACCACCAGCCTTGCGGTTCAGTACTTTATCCCACAGCACCACACCGGAACTTGTTGTTAGGTGCACAACAGAACGAAACCGCCTGGTCCTGGGCCAACGTCAGAATCGTTGCTACGCGAGCCCATGCTGCATCATTGTGCCAACCATCTCGTTTGGGGTCTTCCTCTTTTTCTCCGAGCCTCCACTTTAGCGAGCATGAAGCCAAACAGCAGTACTAGGGTACATAAAGTGCATGGATTTCGGCTCTTCTTGACACAGAGTTGGCGTTACGAATCCTGGAGCCCACGGGGCCTGCCTCCCAGCCCCCACCCCAAACCTGTTTGCTTCCCTTCGGGCCCTGGGTCTTGTCCCCGCCCGTTTCTGGCTCTGGGTCAGAGGTCAAGGGTTAGCGCGCGCCCCTTTCCCCCGGCTCCGGCCTGGGGAGCCTGTCCCACCTCCACCTGCAGCCCGGAATGTGGTCCGAGCCACAGGCATCCGGCAGCCGTCGGAACCAAGTGGGAGGGAACCCACCCCAGCGCCTGGAGATGCTGCCCCTTTAAGAGTCGCCGTCCGATCCGGGCCATGACGTCACAGGAGGGCGGGCGGAGCTATACGCAGCCGCGGCGCAATTCTGGGCTGCAGGAGCGCAGGGCGCGGCCAACTGACTGACAAGAGCGTCGCGGCCGGAACGCCCATCTCTATGAAAGCCCTTTCCCCTTCCCAGCGTAGGTCCCATGGGCCCCGCCCCGTAAGGCCCCGCCCACAAAGCGCTCGCCCCGCCCATCATTTCGTACGCAGCAAGCCCCGCCTCATATTCTGTCCTTGTCGACCGCATAGGCCCCGCCCGCCCCGCGCAGGCCCTCCAGACCCCGCCCTCTCCACGCAGGCCCTCCAGGCTCCGCCCCCCCACCCCTCTCAGACTCCGCTCCGGCCCATCCCCAACAGGCCCCGACAGGAGCCCTGTCCTCGCCGGCTTCGTAGGCCCCGCCCCGCCCCCCCTCAAGGACCACGTCCCGCCCCCTCCGCGCAGGCCCCGCCCCCTCCTCCGGCCGCGGGGGCGGGACTTGCTCGGCCGAGTCGGCGGCAGCGGTGGCTGCGGGAACTTTCCCGGCCGGATCCTAATGGCTGCGCGCGGGGCGCTGTGAGGCGCGGGCGGCGGCGGCGCGGGACCGCGGC